TCCCAATAAACCTACTCCCATATACTGCCAGCACTCTCTCCAGCCCAGGTATCTAAGTGGGGGTAAGGTGGGGGTTGATCAGGAGGGCTGAATCCACTTCCCTAGTGTCAGCGAGTAGGTCTAGGAGGGGGTCAGCCTCCTCGGGCTCCGGTTGTCAGCAGACTGGCATGACATAGGCCGTACGCTCATGGTGGGTTTTGATCATGTTTAACATGAAAGGCCTTCTACCGTCTGCTCCCTTCCCCCACCCTAACCAAGTAGGTAACATTGTTCAGGTGCTGGGTGATGGGGTACGGGCCTTCCCAGGCAGCCTGAAGTTTGTTCTGCTGCAAGGGAAGCAGAACATATACCTGCTGACCAACGTTGTATGTCCGCTCCCTGGCATTATGGTCATACCAACGCTTCTGCCTGGTCTGGGCCTGGGCCATATTTTCCCGAACCATCCCCAGCAGCGTCTCCATTTTATCCCTGAATTTTAGCACGTAATCCACCACAGAGACCTCAGGGTCAACAATTTTGCCCTCCCAGGTCTCACGGATCAGGTCCAGAGGCCCTCTCACCCTCCTCACCCTCCTCAAAGGGTGAAAACCCTGTGGACTCCTGAGGCACCTCTCTGTAAGCGAATAGCAGATGAGGCAGATATCGTTCCCAGTCCTTCCCCTGGGATTCCACAAAGGTGCGCAACATTTGTTTCAAGGTGCCATTGAAACGTTCGCACAAGCCATTTGTTTGTGGATGGTAAGGACTGGCCATGACGTGCGTCATCTGTGTCTTCTGACAGAGAGCTTGCATCAGGTCTGACACAAACTGGGGCCCTTGATCGTTAATGAGCTCGGCCGGAAACCCCACTCTGGTGAAAAATCCCCAGCAAAGCATTCGCAACCTTGTTCACCCGAAGGAAGGAGAGAGCGACAGCTTCGGGATACCGAGTGGCATAGTCAACCACTGTCAGGATATAATGTTTGCCTGAGCTGCTAGGGATGGCTAGAGGCCCCAGGATGTCTACTGCCACCCTCTTAAAAGGTTCGTCAGTCACAGGCAGAGGTTATAATGGGGCCCTGTGTATATCTCCTGCCTTGCCAACTCACTGCAGGTAACACAGGACCGACAGTAATCAGTAGAGATGAGCGAATCGAACATGGCGAAGTGGAATTCGTTTCGAATATTGGGAAATATTCGATTCGCGCCGAATCCGAAAATTAGCCTTTGGATGCACGAATCGAATTTTCCCAAAAATGGCGGCGACATGTGTGGCGACGGAGCGGGGATCTCTGGGAAGGCGCGCAGACAAGGCGCGCTGACCCATAATGCATTCATTCATGACATGTGATCGCATTAGCCAATCAGCAGCCAGCCAGCCAGCACTGTGTAATGGTGGAGCTATAAATTGCGGCCATCTTACAATTCTCCATTAGCCTCCGGTCATTCAAGAGAGACAGACCTGTCTGTATTAGGGACAGAGTTAGGGCCAGAGAGACTTTAGGGCCACAGAATCGTTACTTAGGGACACAGAATCGTTACTTAGGGACACAGAATCGTTACTTAGGGACACAGAATCGTTACTCAGGGACACAGAATTGTTACTCAGGGACAGACACAGAATTGTTACTCAGGGACACAGACACAGGGAACAATTGTTACTCAGGGACACAGAATTGTTACTGAGGGACACAGAATTGTTACTGAGGGACACAGAATTGTTACTCAGGGACAGACACAGAATTGTTACTGAGGGACACAGAATTGTTACTCAGGGGACACAGAATCGTTACTCAGGGACACAGAATCGTTACTCAGGGACACAGACACAGAATCGTTACTCAGGGACAGACACAGAATTGTTACTCAGGGACACAGAATTGTTACTCAGGGACACAGAATCGTTACTCAGGGACACAGAATCGTTACTCAGGGACACAGAATCGTTACTCAGGGACACAGAATTGTTACTCAGGGACACAGAATCGTTACTCAGGGACACAGAATCGTTACTCAGGACACACAGAATCGTTACTCAGGGACACAGAATCGTTACTCAGGGACACAGAATCGTTACTCAGGGACACAGAATCGTTACTCAGGGACACACAGAATCAGGGACACAGAATCGTTACTCAGGGACACAGAATTGTTACTCAGGGACACAGAATCGTTACTCAGGGACACAGAATCGTTACTCAGGGACACAGAATCGTTACTCAGGGACACAGAATCGTTACTCAGGGACACACAGAATCGTTACTCAGGGACACAGAATCGTTACTCAGGGACACAGAATCGTTACTCAGGGACACAGAATCGTTACTCAGGGACAGAATTGTTACTCAGGGACACAGAATTGTTACTCAGGGACACAGAATTGTTACTCAGGGACACAGAATCGTTACTCAGGGACACAGAATCGTTACTCAGGGACACAGAATCGTTACTCAGGGACACAGAATCGTTACTCAGGGACACAGAATTGTTACTCAGGGACACAGAATCGTTACTCAGGGACACAGAATTGTTACTCAGGGACACAGAATTGTTACTCAGGGACACAGAATCGTTACTCAGGGACACAGAATCGTTACTGAGGGACACAGAATCGTTACTCAGGGGGACACACAGAATTGTTACTCAGGGACACAGAATTGTTACTCAGGGACACAGAATCGTTAGGGAACAGAATCGTTACTCAGGGACACAGAATCGTTACTGAGGGACACAGAATCGTTACTCAGGGACACAGAATCGTTACTCAGGGACACAGAATCGTTACTCAGGGACACAGAATCGTTACTCAGGGACACAGAATCGTTACTCAGGGACACAGAATCGTTACTCAGGGACACAGAATTGTTACTCAGGGACACAGAATTGTTACTCAGGGACAGACACACAGAATTGTTACTCAGGGACACAGAATTGTTACTCAGGGACACAGAATTGTTACTCAGGGACACAGAATCGTTACTCAGGGACACAGAATTGTTACTCAGGGACACAGAATTGTTACTCAGGGACACAGAATTGTTACTCAGGGGAGGGACACAGAATTGTTACTCAGGGACACAGAATCGTTACTCAGAGGGACACAGAATCGTTACTCAGGGACACAGAATTGTTACTCAGGGACACAGAATCGTTACTCAGGGACAGACACAGAATTGTTACTCAGGGACACAGAATTGTTACTCAGGGACACAGAATCGTTACTCAGGGACACAGAATCGTTACTGAGGGACACAGAATTGTTACTCAGGGACACAGAATTGTTACTCAGGGACACAGAATCGTTACTCAGGGACACAGAATCGTTACTCAGGGACACAGAATTGTTACTCAGGGACACAGAATTGTTACTCAGGGACAGACACAGAATTGTTACTCAGGGACACAGAATCGTTACTCAGGGACACAGAATCGTTACTCAGGGACACAGAATCGTTACTCAGGGACACAGAATTGTTACTCAGGGACACAGAATCGTTACTCAGGGACACAGAATTGTTACTCAGGGACACAGAATTGTTACTCAGGGACACAGAATTGTTACTCAGGGACACAGAATCGTTACTGAGGGACACAGAATTGTTACTCAGGGACACAGAATTGTTACAGGGACACAGAATTGTTACTCAGGGACACAGAATTGTTACTCAGGGACAGACAGAATTGTTACTCAGGGACACAGAATCGTTACTCAGGGACACAGAATTGTTACTCAGGGACACAGAATCGTTACTCAGGGACACAGAATTGTTACTCAGGGACACAGAATTGTTACTCAGGGACAGACACAGAATTGTTACTCAGGGACACAGAATCGTTACTCAGGGACAGAATCGTTACTGAGGGACACAGAATCGTTACTCAGGGGACACAGAATTCGTTACTCAGGGACACAGAATTGTTACTCAGGGACACAGAATCGTTACTCAGGGACACAGAATCGTTACTCAGGGACACAGAATCGTTACTCAGGGACACAGAATCGTTACTGAGGGACACAGAATCGTTACTCAGGGACACAGAATCGTTGAATTAAAGAGTATGTCAGACAACACGCAGAGGAGTGGCAGAGGAGGCAATGTTTCAGGAGCGAGCAGATGTGGCAGCAGAGGAAGGGGTCGAGGCAGCACTAGTCGCAGCCAGAGGCCAGTGCTCCCGGTGTCATCCAGCGGTCGTGTCTCCACCGACAACCCTGCCGTCATCGATTGGTTGGCTCAGTCGTCTTCCTCTTCCCAGGTCACCTCTGACACCTACAGCCAACGGTCGGTGGGTATGTCAGACACAAACCGTTAGTTGGCATGGCCCGGGAGCAAGCCCGCTGAAATCACGTGTCCTCTACCTGCCCCTGTCCTTTGTGTTCCCTCACCAAGCGAAGTATCGCATGCTGTGGGCTCAGCCCCACTGTACAGTGAGGAAGAGCTAACAGAGGGCGGTCAGGAACGGGGCGAGACATCCGCCTCTTCAACAGCCAGGTGAAGAAGTACTGGCGAGGAGAGTGGCTCGGTAGCCGGTCTAGAGACAGGTCTGTCTCCTGACCCACACGCAGCCGAGGGGGCTAGTAGTGAGGCGGAGACCCTAATTGATGATGATGAGGCTGATCGCACTTGGCAGCCTCGTCGTCATCAGGCCTATTGCTTCCGCATCATCAGGAGAAGAGGGTGCCAGCTTGGCAGCGAGCAAAACAGTCGGTGGGTTGCCCAGGAGGCAGCAGGGTCGCAGCAGTGTCAGTGGAGGCAAACGGCCACGGAGTAGAGCACCAGCTCCACTGCAGCCTACCACCACGGCCAGTAGTGGTGCCCGGTGTGCACGGAGGAAGTAGCAGTCAGCCAGTGAGGAGTAGCGGGGGCAAAGTTTCCTACTCGGCGGTGTGGCAATTTTTCGTCAAGCCGCCCGAGGAAGTAAACGTAGCCGTATGTCGACTATGTGGCCAGAAAGTCAAGCGTGGCCAGGGGGCCCATGTTGGGACTACAGCGTTTGCGTGCATATGCAGCGTCGCCATTGTCATGGCCCCAATACCAGCCGCCTCCTCATGCTTGCAACGCTGCCGGTGATTGAGATACGGCACTCCCAATCGTTTTTGTACCCTCCTCAAGCGCTGGCCACACTTTCATTGGTCTCCTCTCCTCACTGCTGGTGGGTTCCATTTTGTCATAGGGTGCTGGCAGATTTACGGCCTCCCATTGCTGCTGCCAGGCCCGTAATCTGCCATGGGCCCCCGTACCGACTCCTCATGCTGCTGCCAGGATACCCGTAATCTGTCATGGGCCCCTGTACCACCGCCTCCTCATGCTGCTGCCAGGTCCAGAGTGTGTCATGGGTCCCTGTACGGCCTCCCATTGCTGCTGTCTCCATCGCCACACTCTGCCATGTGCCACTTTCAGGTCTCCTCACACTGCTGGTGGGTTCCATTTTGTCATAGGGTGCTGTAATGGCCTCCCATTGCTGCTGCCAGGCCCGGAATCTGCCATGGGCCCCCGTATTACCGACTCCTCATGCTGCTGCCAGGCCCGTAATCTGTCATAGGCCCCTGTACCACCTCCTCATGCTGCTGCCAGGCCCAGAGTGTGTCATGGGTCCCTGTACGGCCTCCCATTGCTGCTGTCTCCCATCGCCACACTCTGCCATGTGCCACTTTCAGGTCTCCTCACACTGCTGGTGGGTTTTCCATTTTGTCATAGGGTGCTGGCAGATTACGGGCCTCCCATTGCTGCTGCCAGGCCCGTAATCTGCCATGGGCACCCGTACCGACTCCTCATGCTGCTGCCAGGCCCGTAATCTGTCATGGGCCCCTGTACCGCCTCCTCATGCTGCTGCCAGGTCCAGAGTGTGTCATGGGTCCCTGTACGGCCTCCCATTGCTGCTGTCTCCATCGCCACACTCTGCCATGTGCCACTTTCAGGTCTCCTCACACTGCTGGTGGGGGTTCCATTTTGTCATAGGGTGCTGGCAGATTACGGGCCTTCCATTGCTGCTGCAGGCCCGTAATCTGCCATGGGCACCCGTACCGACTCCTCATGCTGCTGCCAGGCCCGTAATCTGTCATGGGCCCCTGTACCGCGGCTCCTCTGCTGCTGCCAGGTCCATCTGTGTCATGGGTCCCTGTACCGGCCTCCCATTGCTTGCTGTGCAGGGTCCCTGTACGGCCTCCCATTGCTCCTGCCCATCTGCCATGGGCCCCCGTACCGATCTTGAGCTCAGAGCTCATGCTGCTGCCCAGGCCTGTAATCTGTCATGGGCCCCTGTACCCCAGCCTCCTCATGCTGCTGCCAGGTCCACAGTGTGTCATGGGTCCCTGTAAACGGCCTCCCCATTGCTGCTGTCTCCATGGCCACACTCTGCCATGTGCCACTTTCAGGTCTCCTCACATTGCTGGTGGGTTCCCATTTTGTCATAGGGTGCTGTATGGCCTCCCATTGCTGCTGCCAGGCCTGGAATCTGCCATGGGCCCCCGTACCGACTCCTCATGCTGCTGCCAGGCCCGTAATCTGTCATGGGCCCCTGTACCGCCTCCCATGCTGCTGCCAGGTCCAGAGTGTGTCATGGGTCCCTGTACGGCCTCCCATTGCTGCTGTCTCCATCGCCACACTCTGCCATGTGCCACTTTCAGGTCTCCTCACACTGCTGGTGGGTTCCATTTTTTCATAGGGTGCTGTATGGCCTCCCATTGCTGCTGCCTCCACCGCCACACTGTGGCTCCACACTCTGGTTTTGGCCCCGTGACTGCCCAAATGAGTGAAGTGTGCGGTGATTCTAAGATCGACGGCACTCATCTGCATGTCATACTGACTGACAGTATTATTTCTCTTCCCCAGCAGACTCCAAGGGCATTTAAATTAAAGGTACAGTGTTCTGCACTAATATAAAGGCTCTCTGAAGCCTAGAAACACCCTTTTTATAAGTTAAATTCGCAGCGAATATATTCGACTCGAATCAAATTTATTCCGCGAATTCGCCGAATCAGCCGAATCGAATTTTTGAATAATTCGCTCATCTCTACTGATGATCTTACAAAATAAACAAACAGTGTGGGCAAAATAATTATTTTATCCCCTGCAGATTTTGTAAGTTTTCCCACTTACAATGAGAGGAAGGGTTTATAATATTTTATCATAGGTGTATTTTTAAAATTATACAAATGTTATAAATTGAGTTGCAGTTCAGTGAGTAAAATAAGGATTTGATCCCCTATCAGCCAACAATAATTCTGGCTCCCACAGACTGGCCATGTGCTCGTGTGGTACACAGAAAGTCCTGTCAATTTATACTCCTAAAGACAACTCGTTATGTGTATAAAAGACACCTGTCCACAGAATTTCTTTCTTCCATTCAAACCTCACCATCACTATGGGCAAGACCAAAGAGCTGTCAAGGGATGTCATGGACAAAATTGTAGACCTGCACAAGGCTGGAATAGGCTACAAGACCATCAGCAAGAAGCTTGGTGGGAAGGAAACAACTGCTGGAGCGATTATTCGCAAAATGGAAGAAATACAAAATAACCATCAATCGCCCTCGGTCTGGAACTCCATACAAGATTTACCTCATGGTGTAAAGATGATCATGAGAAAAGTGAGAACTACATGGGAGGAGCTTGTGAGCCATCTCAGGGCAGTTGGGACCACAGTCACCAAACAAACCATTGATAACACATTACGCCACCATGGATTGCAATCCTGCAGCACCTGCAAAGTCCCCCTCCTCAAGGGGGTACATGTACAGGCCCAACTGAAGTTTGCCAATGAACATCTAAATGATTCAGAGAAGGATTGGGAAAAAGTGCTGTGGTCAGATGAGACCAAAATTGAGCTCTTTGGCATTAACTCAACTTGCCATGTTTGGAGGGAGAAAATTGCTGACTTATGACCCTAAGAACACATCACTACAATTAAGCACAGAGGTGAAAACATTATGCTTTGGGGCTGTTTCTCTGCTAAAGGCACAGAGTGACTTTGCCTCATTGAGGGGTTAATAGACAGGGCCCTGTATTGTAAAATCTTGCATGAGAACCTTCTTCCCTCAGCCAGAACACTGAATATGGGTCGTGGATGGGTCTTCCAGCATGACAATGACCCAAAACATACCACCAAGGCAACAAAGGAGTGACTCAAGAAGAAGCACATTAAGGTCATGGAGTGGCCTAGCCAGTCTCCAGACCTTAATCATATAGAAAATGTATAGATGGAGCTGAAACTTTGAGTTGTAAAGTGACAGCCAAGAAACCTTAAGGATTTAGAGAAGATCTGTAAAGAAGAGTGGACCAAAATCCCTCCTGAGATTTGTGCAAACCTGGTAACAGACTACAAGAAACGTCTTACCTCTGTGCTTGCCAACAAGGATTTCTCCACCAAGTACTAAGTCATATTTTGCGTTAGGATCCAATACTTATTTTACTCACTGAACTACAACTCAATTTATAACATTTGTATCGTGGTTTTTTTCTGGATTTTTGGTTGATATTCTGTCTCTATCATTTAAAATACACCTACGATAAAAATTATAATTTCTTTGTAAGTGGGCAAACTTACAAAATCTGCAGGGGATCAAATAATTATTTTCCACACTGTATTATACACAATAGAGTGATTATTCTTAATGGCTGTGAGTCATTTTCGCAAAGCAAATTTTTTTTAAGTAGACCCCTTTAAAGTGATTCTAAAGGTTGTAATTTAAAAAAATAAACAAATAAAGATGTCATAGTTACCTGGTCTGTGCAATGGATTTGCACAGAGCAGCCCCGATCTTCTTTCTGGATCCCCCGGTGGAGGCCCTGGCACTTTCTCCCTGCTGAGTACCCCTAATAGCAAGCCTCTTGCTATGGGGGCACTCAAGCACGCTTGCTCCCGAGCCACGCTCCTGTGAATGGACATTGTTCATTCACACACAGAGCATGGCTTGGCCCCACCCCATGCTCTCTTCTCATTGGCCAATGGTTTCCTGCTGCTGTGTGAGCCAATGAGGATACACATCGCACATCACTGCATCAAGATGGGGCTCAGGTAAGTATAAGGAGGGCTGGGGGGGAACTGCACCCAGAAGGTATTTCACGTTAATGCATAGAATGCCTTTAGAACCATTTTTTTTAACAATAGTTTTAAATTATAAAAAGAAACTACAAGGCTTACACAAAAGTAACATTGTGGAAAGGCAAAAGGAAAAAAACAGTTACAACAACTGTAAGGTTGTACAATGCTGCTTTGCATGACCTATAGCATTGAGAATAAGGCAAAGACAGATTCAAGTATAAGATAATGTATAACTCTCTGTAATGTGAGTGGGTACATTTGTGCCCAATCCTGTAAGTCCTAGTAAGTACAGTGCTAACCACGTAGCTATCTTCTAACTTCTGCGGCCTTTAGAACCACTTTAGGCTGGCCTTTGCACTGCCATAGACGTAATAGGAAGCCCATCAGATAGGCAGACCAATGACCAACCAGAGGATCTTGCATGACTGGCTGACAACATCGCTACCGATAGCAAGGCAGTGTTTTTAGCATTGGACTCCTAACATATTTCTTTCACCAATTCTTATATACTGCAGAGACCATTCTTATATATAGTATAGACCTCTTTTTTATTTAAGAAAAAGACACGTATAGCCTTTAAAATAACTTTAAAGTTAATCTATGGTCAAAATGTAAAACCATATATTCATTTCCACATTGTATTTCAATTATTTCTAGCCTACTCCTATTAATGTGAATGAACTTGAAGTTCATATAGTATTGTTTCCTCCTTCTCTCTAGTTCCCTGGTCACCTCCTCCCATGCCCGCCTCCAGGACTTCTCCAGGGCTTCACCCATCCTCTGGAACTCCCTACCCCAATCCATCAGACTATCACCTACTCTCCTCTCCTTTAGGCGCACCCTGAAATCCCATCTCTTCAGGGAACCCTACCCCGCCCTCTGCTAATCGCCGATCTCCTCCACTCTTCCTACCACTCCATCCCCTACACCTATTCCTCCCGTACCACTATCCCCTCCCTCCTAGATTGTAAGGTCCAAGGAGCAGGGCCCTCAAAACCCTCATGTATCGCATTGTATTGTTATTGTACTGTCTCATGTAATGTAAAGTGCTGAGCAAACTGTTGGCGCTATATAAATACTGTATAATAATAATAATATTGTTTCTATATAAAGCACTTAAAAGTGATCCTGGCAGCATCATTCAATGCTAATAGGCAGCTACAAAAGAAAGCTATATCCTGGGGAACTACATTTTGGGATTTATAAAAAAAGGAGGCAAAACACTATACTAATATAGTATTGTTTCTATATAAAGTAGTCCCCACTTATTTACTTCCTTGGCACATATTCATTATGGTGTCCTTTTATGAAACAGAGATCAGCGGCGATCCTGAGGATCGTTGCTGATCTCAGATCACTAGTGGTTTAGGAAACAGAGATGATCAGCGGAGAACATGTTCTCCGCTGATCATCTCAGCACACAGATGGCCAGTGTATGAAGGAGCGATGTCAGCCCCTCACTGGTTATCTGTGTTCTCCCTCCAGATTCTCCAGCCCAGAGCTGGAGAATCAGAGGAACCGCAAACGAAGCAGCGGTGTTTGACTGATCTCTTACTGTAATCGCGTGAGATTGTAGTAAAAGCAGATGTTTTCCAGTGTTCAAAGCATTTGTAGATCGCTTCTCCCTTCATTCGGAGAAGTGGTCTACACTGCTTCATAAAAAGGCATTGAGGAGAATGTCAGAGAAATGAGCAGCGGTCATTTACCGCTGCATGATAAAAGGACACCTATGACCTGTGAGTAGGCAACTGCTGTGTCACACATTTCACAGAGCCTGCCTTCTACAGAGGAGCTGAGAGGAGGAGTTTAAGGAGGTGGAGCCAGTTACAGGAATCACCGCTTAAAGACAGCAAGGTACCATGGGATATGTAGTTCTTAGAAATGGAAAGTAAACCACAGAGGAGAAGCTGCAAAGCATGCAGGGTATCTAGGAAGTTGTGGAAAGAGATGACCAGCAGACAAGCAGCACTCAATACATGATAGGAGATTTTTTAAATAAGCTTATATTGGATTGTGAATGATGATGATGATACACAGAATATAACTGGATACTAACATTTATAGGTAAAGTTGATCCAGGGAATATCCAATTTGCCTCTCAGGGGATCAGGAAGGAATTTTTTCCCTACAGGAGCAAATTGCATCATGCTTTGCTGGTTTTTTTGCCTTCCTCTGGATAAAAACTGAGGGTGTTAAGCACCACCTGGTGGCGTCTCTAGCGGCCCACAGCACAGGATTCCTCAGGGCGTGGGGTCTAAGTCCCAATCTGCTTATTCACCAGGGCCCCTGATGGTGGGGATGGACTTGGAGCAGACTGAGACCATGTCACGACCCCTGAGTAGTTTCGTCAGAGGTGTGCGGGGAAAGGAGCCTGACGTGAAGAGGCTGCACAGACCTGGTAACAGGGACAGATCCGTGCGGGATGGATGGATGGATCATCTGGGTAACGTAAGGCGTAGTCAAGCAGGCCAGGTCAGCAACGTGCGGGCAGAGAGGTACCGGAGGAGCAGGCAAAGAATGGTCAGGGTCACAAGCCGGGTTCAGTAACTAATGGGCAGTGTGGTACAGAGGAACAGGCAGAAGGATGGTCAGGCAAGCCAGGGGTTAAACAGGAGACGGTCAGCAGGGTCAGGAACAATGCAGAGGTCGGCAACAGAAGATTCACAGGATCAGATATCAGGAATTAACTATGTAACTATGTAACTATGTCAATGTTTGTATTGTTATACTAATGCTGATGTTATAAAATGAAAGTGTATGCTGTGGCCATAGAATTACTTCAAAGAAGAAAAGCTGTTTTGGCCCTAGGTTACAGGAGTGCATTTAGTTCTGCAATTCTG